ATTTTCTTGGTTGTTGAGTAATGTGAGAGTACCCAGCCCAAAATGGGTGGTCCCTCGCCTGGGCAGGTGGTCCTGGCTTATATATGAAAGCAGGAAAAACACAGGTCAGGTGAGCAAGACAGTAAGCAGTGTTCCACCATGGTCTCTGCTTCAGGTTCCTACCTTGAATTCCTGCCCTGGCTTTCCTCATTGATGAACTATGATCTGAACATGTAAGCCAGATAAACTCTATTCTCTCAAGTTGGTTTTGGTTAGTGTTTTATCACAGCAATAGAGAAACCAAAGTAGGACATCTTTTTTTCCTTTTTGTATTTTATTCACCATTCTGGGTGTTGTCATTGGAAAGCCTTGTTACATAAAGTAAGGCAAGTTTCCACAACCGTTACTCTCCTGTTGTGTGTAGTCAGCTTTTTGTCATTGTGCTGAAGCATTCAAGAGAAACAGTTTAAAAGGAGGAAAGGAAAGATTTATTTTGGTTCACAGTTTCAGAGGTTCCAATCCATGGTCACTGTCTCCGTTGTTTCTGGGCTGTGGTAAAGGAGAACATCTTGATGTAGAGTGTATCTTGGAGCAAATCTGCTCACCTTATACTGGTTAGGAAGTGGAGAAGCATGGGAAAGGGACCAGGGACAAGCTGTATCCTTCCTGGGCATATCCCCAGTGAGCTCCTCTTCCCAACAAGGACTCATATCCTGAAATTTCCATGACCTTTCAATAATGCCATCAGCTGGCAACCAAACATTTAGCACATGGCCTTGGAGGGGGGTCTTTCAGGTCTGCCTCAAAACCCATTGCCTTATAAGAGCCACAGAGTAAAGGTGCTCCTGTCTGCATCAGAGTTTTAGTTGAAGTCATTGTGCTTTGAAAGCCATGGGGCTGCAGACCAGTATGGCTGCCATTATTTCCTACCCACCCTGCATACTCTGGGCCTTCCTCTTCTGCCTGCTTCTTGAGCAATAGTGCTCCCCATTATCCTTTAACCCTCTTCTAGAAATGCTTTCAGTGTCTCATCCCTTCCCAGATGTTTGGGAAGAATTTTCTCATTTTTGTCTTGTGAACGCCAAGCCCCTATCATCTATGTACCATACTGAACTTGTCACACGCATCCCCATGTCCCATTTCGTCCTTCTCCCTCTCCTTCCCTGGCAGTGGTGACTGGCACCATTCATTATCTGCTGTGAACTTGTCTGTCCAGGCTAAAAACCCTGGGATCCACCTGAATGCCACCATCCCTCACCAGCCACAGGCACAGTCTCCAGGTGCTGTGACCCATGCCACCTCTGTGTCTCTCAGGCTTGCTCACTTCTGTTTTTCTGTTGTTTGGCCTCAGACTTCAGTTGCTTGCTTCCCAGCCCATCCTCCTTACCATCAGCCAGAGTGGTCTCTAAAGCACACATGTGAATGTCATCGTCCCACTTCAGGTCCTGTACCTGCTTCCTGATGACAAAATGTCCTGAAGAGAAGCTCCACTAACAGTGCTCACTTGCCTGTGTGGCCTGACCCTGCTTACTTCTTCCTTTCTCCTCACTCTCTCCATTTCATGGCATACTTCATCTGTTTTGTGTTATCTGTACTTCCATTTCTAGGCTTTAAACCATGCTCTTGTCTCTGTCTGGGAGTTACGGGTATCAGCTTTCAACTCTCTTTAGATCGTTTTAGTCCTTGCCTTTAGCTGAGATTTGCTACTTTGGCTGTCCCACTAAACCTGTTCCTTCTCTGCCTTGAACTCCAGAAGTCAGATTGAGCAGCCCAGAATGTAAAGAGATTGTTCCCTCCCTTCTTATAATCTCCATGTTCCTATCCTGGCACCTAAGGGAGCACAAGCCTTTCAGCAGCCACGTCATAGTCATCTTTTACAGAGTGGTCTATCTGTGTAACTATGGCTCTCATTCTGTGGGTGGGTTTTCTGCATCTTAACACAGAAACTGACCTACCAGGTATACTGCTGGAAGAGCTCGCTGCACTTCATCGTATTTGCTGTGGCACTTACTCTCTTGAGCAGTATTTTTGGCCTAACCCAAAGCCTTACAATGTAAAGTAAGAGAAATATCTTTTTGCCATATAGATAGAGGAGCTGGGCCCAGAGATGCTCAACCCAGAAGTCAAGAGCAAACAGAGCAGCAGTACTTCTAGAACTAGGGCTCAGGGCTCCTGAACTCCAGTCCCAGGTTTCTTCTCATATGATGCACAAATCCCCATGGCCAGATCCAACAACTGAGAGTGCATTTAGCTTCTAAAAAAACATTAAACCTGGGGCTGGAGAGATGGTTCAGCGGTTAAGAGCACTGACTGCTCTTGCAGAGGACCCAGGTTCGATTCCCAGCACCCACATGGTGGCTATGAACCATCCTTAACTCCAGTTCCAGGGGAATCCGAAGCCCTCTTCTGACCTCCACGGCATTGAACGACATGGGTGCACTCACATACATGCAGGCAATACACTCATACACATAAAATCAAAATAATAAATAGAATATTAAAAAAACATTAAACCATACCTACCATATTGTAAATGATACTGATTCTTTTTTCCTAGACAAGGCATAATACAAATAGCATCATGGAGCAGCTAGAAACTTCAGGCTCTCCACTCTGGGTGGACTCTCCATCACAAAGAGCTCATCTGATGAGACTGTAGGAAAGGCTCTGCAGGAAAGCTCTGCAACAGTAGCTGGCTTCTCCCACCAGCCCCATAACTACCCTTCTTTTTTTCAAGCTTCATTTTCAATTTTGGGTTTTTGTTTTGCATCTGTTTACTGGGGCCGGGTAGAGGGAGGGATATGAATTCCTAGGCATGCATGTGGAGGTCAGAGGACAACTTGTAGAAGTTGGTTCTCTCCTTCCATCATATGGGTTCCAGATATTGATGGTGGCAGATGCTTTTTACCTGCCGAGCCATCTCACTGGTCCCTGTCGCACTTTTAAGACATGTATTTTACAGATAAAAGGGAAACTTTCCTACGTTTCTACTAGGGCAGAACTTTAAGAAGGCAAGGCAGTATTACTTGTCACAGAAACAAAACAGAGTCACCTTCCCCATGGTGGTACTTAAGGGGACTTTTTTTGAAGGCTTAGCTCTTAACCATTTCATATGTCGCTGGAATAAAATAAAGAGTTGCTGCATACCTTTCTGGGTTTCCTGTCAAGTAGAGATTCAAAATACAGTGTGTGAAAGTTGTCCTTCTAGAAAAAGAAAAGATCCTTGTGACTAAAGACCCCTGTCTCCTGTTGAATATCTCTGATCTTTGGGCCACAACTGTATTCCCCATTTTCCCCACACTTCTGTTGCCCTTTCTGAAACCATGTCTGCCTTGTCCCTTGTATAGTGAGAACTGCCGAGGTTATCATCTGTAGAAGTCTGTCAGTTTTATAGTAAGCCAATAAGGGGGATGGGACTCATTATAAGAACACCAAGGAATCTCACAACCAGGTCTTAAAGATAAAAAAGACCTACATTAAAGAATGTATAACCAAACACTGAAGAGCAACCTAGAAGTTCTCCCAGCCTCATACCCCTACTCTCTCTGACTCAACCCACGTATCCTCATTGACAGGCCCATGTGTCTCTCTGGGCCCCATGGTAGGAAACATGGCTGCCCACAGCTAGAGGTGATTTTTCTCCCTATTTTTTTCTCTTTAACAGTGATCAAAAGCATGGTAGAGTCCTTCTTGTTCTTCATGGTTTAGCTTAAACATGGCCTTCCCTGAGCCCTGCCTAGGTGCTTCTGCTGTTGCATTTGTCCTTCTGTGGGCAGTGTGCCTGTCTCCTCCTTGAGACAAAGTGCCTTCAAGGGGAGGGACTGTTGTTCTCTCAGTATGTAGCTCCATAAACACCTGTTAAGGAGACTCTTAAGTGAATGAGTGGTTGTATCCCTCCCCAAATCCACCTGTGAGGCATTCCTGACTTGTGTGTGTACTTTGTAGTACCTGCTTTCAAGCCCATCTACCTTTGTTCAGCTCTATATAGACCAGACAGCAGCTGCTCCTTCCATCTCCTCACCCTTCTAAGCCAGTTGGGACTTAAAGATGTGACAGGAAGAGGAGGCCAGTGGGGAGTGGAAAGGGTCTGGGTTCTTGAGTCAGGCAGAACTAGGTTCTGATTTGAGCTCTGCTACTTTCTAGCTATGAGCTTTAAATAAAGCAAGTTGCTCTGAGCTTGAGTTTCCTGATTTGAAAAGCAGGTAAATAATACCTTTCCCACTGATATTCTGAAATAACACATGAAGTGCCCTGTCACCATCCCAGGAATGAAGTGGGCTTTAAAGAAATATTTATTTCCTTCTTGCTTATGTGTGCTTATAGCTCATACCCAGGGCTGTGTGTCTGTGTATGTCACAAGTGTTTTTGTTTTGGTGTATAGATGGAATGGAACATGCAGGGAGGGATGAAACTGTGATCTGAGTCATCAGCCCATGTGTTTGTAGAGTAACCCAGGCTCATCCACTTGGAAGCATGAGGTCACAGTCATACCTAAAATGCCACCTCTTCCTACCCACCTGTGGAGTGTGGGACCTCAGGCTCTTCAGTCCCACTCTCGGGTGTTCCTGGAACTCCTCAGAGAGACCTTGGTGGTATAGTCATGGTCCAGGCCAAGGGCATGATGTTTCCACAGTTACTAGTCCTCAGGATGGGTGACAAAATGCACCCAGGAATCTGCCTTTGCCCCAAACCGTGTAGTGTTCCCCTTGCGTCATGCTCCCTACAGTTCAGTCTTGCCTTATTTACCCTGGTGTCATCCATGAGCACAGCCCCAACCATATGAGCGATCTGTACAGACTTTCTCCATGCAGTGGCCTGTATGGATAAGCAGGGCTCAGGGAATGGGTCAGTGGCAGGGAGTTACACCTACTACCCCTTTCTACACAGACTTCTCATGGGTACTAGAGGAATTCCCAAGCTGGTTAGTCCTCCTAGCCAATTCCCTGTCCTCTATTTCTTTCTGAGAATGGTGGAACTCATTCTCCACCCTTGCTCAGTACCTGAGATCTCTGCACCCACAGGGAGGCATCTGTGACGCCGCTGACAAGCAAGAAGTACATCCTGAGGTTCCCTGCACTGGAAACCCTGATGCTGGATGACAACAAACTGTCCAATCCCAACTGCTTTGCCAGCTTGGCTGGGTTCAGGAGGTAATGCCACAGCCCCCTTCTGCACTATCCAACACCAGCACAGTGCGCGCGTGCACACACACACACACACACACACACACACACACACACACACAGAGCTGGGGGTGAAGTCCCAGATCCACCACTTAACTCTGCAGTGTGGTCTTGAGCAAGTCACTTCTCTCTGAACTTTAGCTTGTCACAAAATAGGGCATTCATAGGGATATTTCTGATCATGTGTAGGATTTGATATTACTCAAGGTAGCATCCTGACCCTGAGAAAGGAGGTAAACACTTCACCTCAAAACAGAAACAGAAAATTTTAGCTGCTGAGTTCTGCATGTTTGATGATGATCCCTAGAAATCAGCTTAACTTCAGCTCTAAATATTCCTTTGTGCCTGGCCATTTACATACTTTCTCATTTGGTCTTCACCAGAACCTTGAAAGGTTAGTAAACATTATCCTCATTAAGAGATAGGGCCATTGCATCCCTGACATGGTTAAGTCACAGGTGCAAGGTCATATGACAGGTGTACATGTCTGAGTCTATGTTTTTTCCCTAAATTTCTTGGTAGTACCCTCAAGATGTAATGACTGTCGTGATTCTGTATTCACTTTCTTTAACTGAAGACTGAAGAAGTTAAGCCTGGACCAAAACAAGATTTTCCAGATCCCATACCTACAGCAGGTTCAGCTCCGTGATGGATCAGGCCACTGGGCTGGTGATGGGGCAGGTCCCCAGAAAGAGCTGCAGCCCTGCATGTGGATGTTTGAGGCCCCTGAGGAGCGACCGAATTATACTGTACTGCCCATGAAAAAGGATGTCAACCGCACAGGTGAGCTGTGTCCCTTGTTCCTGATGCTTGCTCCATGCAGGACACATCTGGTGGTTTATCCTGAAAAGTCTGACTCCCTGGGAGCTGCTGTGTTCAGATTGAATGATTTAGTGACTTGACTGTGTCAGTGACTCCCTAGCCTGTTCTATCAGATAAGATGCTTTTGAAATCCAACTCAAAATAGATCATTTTTCCTAATCTCAAATAATGAGAAACTCAGAAGTCAGGCTTTCCAGATAAGGCTGATTCTGTGGCATACCATTTCCTCAGGCTTCCAGCTTTTCATCCTGCTTTGGTTCTAGGTTGCCTGTCTGCCCATCCTGTTAGGCTGGTTCCCAATATGTTCTCCGGATGGTGCCACAGTTCACAGAATCATTCCCACATACAACTTGCAGAGTCAAAAAGGAAAGAAAGGTTAACACATCACAGACCAGAATACCCTTAGTATTAAAGCCCATCTCTGGGTTATAATATATATGGTTATATATGATACTATGTGTTTTGTTGCTAGTCCACAGATCTAGTTATCTATTACTGTGTTTCTACCACCTTACATCAGCTAAAGTATCGAAAGCTTGAATTTTTAAATAAACTCTTTTACCACTGTTTGTACTGCAATCCAGAACATTCCCAGTGTCCCAGTGCGACCCCCCTAACCAGTACTTCTTCAAGAATGCTAGCATCTGACTGTCACCCTAAATTCATTTTGCCTACTTTGAAGTTCATGGACACACTTGTATAATATGGACTCTTTCATGTCTAGTTTATTACACTCAGTGCTGCGTTGGTGGATTTTTTAATATCAATGTGTTTATTAGTAGCACAGTTTTTTTCACTGATTTTATTCACTCCTTTTATACCACAGTTTTATTTCCCCATTTTACTGTTGATAAAACATTATCACTGGTTTGGGGCCATTATAGATGAAGTTGCTGTGAGCATCCTCTTACTTATCCTTCGGTGGACACAAGTTCTTGTTTCTTTGGGGAATAGTGGACTTGTTGGTCACAGATCTCCAAGTATGATGACACTAGTGAATACTATCTGCCACTTTCCCAGTAGGACTGTACCCTTGTTCAGTCCTGCTCTGAGGAGGGAGAGATTCCCAGTTACTCTCAGATGCTTGCAAAGTCAGTTCAGCTGTTTCGCTGGCATTGCATTGTGGTTTTAATTCGCATCACTCAAATAATCAGGGATGTTGAGCATCCTTTCATGTATCTTTGGTCACATTGATGTTCTGTTTTGGCAATTACTATGCAAGTCTTTCTGCTATCTTTTTAAAAAATATTTTATTTAATTTTTATTTTATGTGTATGAGTGTATTGCCTGCATGTATCTGAGTGCATCCATGTCATGCAATGCCACGGAGGTCAGAAGAGGGCTTCACATTTCCCTGGAACTGGAGTTAAGGATGGTCCGTAGCCACCATGTGGGTGCTGGGAATTGAACCCAGTTCCTCTGCAAGAGCAGTCAGTGCCCTTAACTGCTGAGCCTTCTCTCCAGCCCCGCTATCTTTAAATTGGAATATGCCTTTTTCTTAATTTGTCTGTGTTCTTTATAATCCTGGACAAAAATCCTTTCTAGATATGTAAATTACAGAAATCTCCTAGCATGGGGCTTGTGTTTTTCAGATTCGTGTGTGTGTGTGTGTGTGTGTGTGTGTGTGTGTGTGATTCTGGGTATCAAACCTAGGGGCTCATGCATGCTAGACTTTTACTTTATCAACTGAGCTATACCCCAGACCACATTTTAAAACAATATTCTTTTTTTTTTTTTTGTCTTTTTGAGACAGGGTCTCCCTGTAGCCCCAGCTGTCCTGGAACTCACTAAGGAGACCAGGCTGGCCTTGAACTCACAGAGATCTGCCTGCCTCTGCCTCCCAAGTTCTGGGACTACAAGCATGTGCCACCATGCCAGGCTAAAACAATATTCTTAATGATGACTTTTGATGAACAGTTCTTTTTTAAAATTTTTTTTATTATTTTTATTTTATGTGTATGTATGTATTGCCTGCATGTAGGTAATGCACCCATGTCGTGCAATGCCTGTGAAAGTGAGAAGAGACTGTCAGATCCCCTGGGACAGGAGTTACAGACAGTTCTTAGCTGCCATGTTGGGTCTTCTGCAAGAGCAACCAGTATTCTTAACCGCTGAGCCATCTCTCTAGCTCCAAAGAGAAGTTCTTTTAATTAAATCTAATTCATCAACATTTTATGTCAGAGACTTTTCTTTCCCACTTAAGAATTTGACGCCTATCTCAAGGTTTTGAAGATATCTTTTCAATTTTCTTCTAAAACCTTTTTTTGTTACTGATTTTCTGTTGTGATCAATGATCTACATAGGATTAATTTGCATGTATTATATGAGGCAGAGTCAAAGTTTGCCTTTTATAAGTATATTCTTCAGCCCAGCACCATTAATGGAAAGATTCTTTTCCCCACTGAGTAGGAGCCTCAGTCGGCTAACAGTGTATGTGTCTGAATTGCTGTAGTTTGGGTGGTTTTTGTAGGAATTCTTCCCATGGGCCTCCCTTGTCAGAGCCAGCCAGTGGTCTCTCTTCATCATTTGCACTACATGGCATGACCTAGGAATCCGCCTTGAATACACTTCAGGGCAGGGGCCCCTGCTGCAGCTCATTTGCACAGCAGAGATGTCCACCCGGCCCTGAGCCTGGTCACACCACGGGTCTGCTTCCTTCCACAAGTTCTCTGTGAGGACGTTCATTTATTTTTATTTCACTCTAGAGGGTTACATAAGACTTTGCCTACAAATACATAATATACTTTGACATATTCCACTCCCCCATATCCTGCTACCCCCCCCAAACTGAAATTATACCAGAAGTGAAAAGCACAGTACCTTCCTTTTTTTTTTTTTTGGTATTTTTGAGACAGGGACTCTCTGTAGCCCCAGCTGCCCTGGAACTCACTATGTAGACCAGGCTGACCTTGAACTCACAAGATCCACCTGCCTCTGCCTCCCAAGTGCTGGGATTAAAGGCATGCACCACCACGCCCAGCTCCTTTTTCCTTTTTTAAAAATGTATATTTTTTACTGAGTTTTTGTGCATTTCATAAAATATATCTCAATCATATTTAGATCCTCTCCCCCATCTGCAATCCCCCATACCCCCTCTCCACCAGATTTCATGCATTCTGTCATGTATGTTAAGGCCTATCTGGTCAAACATTTGTCCCAGATGTCCCTCAGTGCATGTTCATCCACTGGAGTCTAGTCAGCCTATCTAGAGTCACTCCCTTAAAGAAGATCAGCTCTCCCTCACCCAGCAGTAACTAGTTACCAACCATCTCCCCAGTTCTTTGCTGGGTTTTTGTCTGATTGAGTCAGTATGGGTCTTATGCATGCTAACACCATTGCTGTAAGTTCATATGAGCAAGTTTCCAGAGGTCTGAAAGCCTCTGTTTCCTTATGTTCATGTACCAACCCTGGCTCTTACAGTCTTTCCACCCCCTTTTCCACAATGGTCCCTGAGCCATGGGTAGGAGACGTTTAATATAGGAGTCCCAAACCAGGTAAAGACACAACAAAGAAAGAAAACTAAAGGCCCATATCCTTAATGAACATAGATTCAAAGATTCTTAACAAAGTATTCTCAAACCACATACAGACACACATCAAAAAGATGATCCACCATGATCAAGTCAGCTTTATTCCAGAGATGCATGGATGGTTCAATATAAGTCAATAAATGTAATAAATCACAAAAATGGACTTAAAGACAAAAGTCACATGGTCATCTTAATGGATGCAGAAAAGGCCTTTGATAAAAATCCAATATGCATTTATATTAAAAGTCCTAGAGGAAATTGGACTGGAGGGAACATACCTTTACATAATTAAAGCTGTATACAACTCTGTAGCTTTCTAACAAGGCTTGTCACATGCTAGTGAAGTTCTCTGGGTTGTCCTTAAGATGTGCTGTGGCTCTACTAAAGGTCTTTGCATTTCCATATAAGTTTGAGAATTAGCTTATCAATTTCTATACACAGTTCCACTGGAATGTGATTGGAAGGGCACTGACTGTATAGGTCAAGGTAAAGAATCATCTTTATAATGAGTTTTCCAACACACACACACACACACACACACACACACAAACACACATGCATGCACGCACGCACACATTAGTTCTCAGGCCTTTTTTTAAAGTTCCTCTCAGGATGCTTTGCTGTCTTCAAGGCTGAGACCATGCATGTCATCATTAGATTTATCCATAGGTAGTTGATCTCTTTTCATGCTGTTATCAATGGTAGCACCTTTAGTATTTCATTTCTACTTACATATTGCCAGTACCTAGACATATTGGACCTGTATCCAGTGATGTTTCTCAGTTCACTTATTATATCTAGTCATTTACAGAATCTTCTGAAATATCTGTCTTCATGTCATGATCTGTATATGACAGCCATTTTATCCCCTCTTTTCAAGTCTTAATATCTCTTAGCACTTTTTATTGTATTATTTGCTAAGGTAGAACAGTGTTGAAAGAAGTGATGACAACCTTCAGAGGCAAATGTTCAGTATTTCAAAATCATAAATTAGCTGTATATATTCTTATAGGTGCCTTATATCATTAAAGAAGCCTTATATTCCTAGTTGACTGAGAGTTTTGTGTGTTTAAATCAATGTTGAATTTTATTAAATGATTTTTTACATCTGTTGAGATGATTATGTGATTTCTCTTCAGTCTGTTAATATGAGCAATTAATATGGATTTTCAAATGGTAAACCAGTCTTGCATTCCCAGGATAAACTCCCCTTGGTCTCAATGGTCACAGAATTGAATTTGCTGGCATTTTGTGGAGGGTTTTTGCATCCGTGTTTAGGAGATGAAGTGGGGTAATATCTTCCTTTGTTACAGTGTTCCCATGAGGACTGACAATCAAGGTTATGCTTTCCTTGTAAAATGAGTTCAGGAGTATTCAAGTCTCTGTTTTCTATTATTTTATTTCTTGGCTATTGGAAGAAAATACCATGAAGCCCCCAGAGGCTGGGGTTTTCTTTGTGGGATGAAGTTGGAATTGAGAAAAGTTAGAAACTTTGAGGAGGGGCTTTTCAGACCCCAGACCTAAAACTTAGGCTTGTGAGGACAGGACGAGGTACTGCTCGGTGGTTGGTATCTGTGTGCTCAGCCAGCCTCGGGGAGCAAAGACAAAGATCTTTGAAGAGAGGACACTGTTAAATGGGTCAGCGTTAGGCTAGTTTATGAAAGTGGAAAATGTGCTGAATGGACTCGTAAAGAAGCTTGACTCTGTGGACACTCACGGGAATCACAGCACTTGGGAAAGCCACGGAAGCAGAGAGAGCAAGGGAGCCTTCTTCTTCAAGGTGACTGCCTTTCTGCTGTTCTAGCTGCGCAGATGCCCTCTCATACTGCCCAGTTGTCAGAGGCTAGCAGGCCCATCCCCGGACAGACTGACTGTTCATTGCATAAACCTATCCCAAATCCCTTGCAGACCCTCATCCAGAACTGTTTATGGCACCTGCTCTTAGGGTTTATTTTCATGTGACCTTTCTCATCCGAAGTGGTAAGTGTGAGAAAGGTGTCCCAGGCACCAGGTTAGGGAGAGTGCTGCCCAAACAGTGCCCAGTCCCACAAATGCTCTACTCCATTCCCTACAGCCCCTTGATGGACTCCTGGTGGTCCCAAGGATGAGAACATTGTGTGCCCTCTTCCATGTACTGACTGTCCTTGCTGACTTCACTGCCTGAACATGTTTCATTTCTGAGCACTCAGATCATTTCCAAATCCTCTAATGGGCTCTCTTTTCTGTCTTCCTTCCAAAACAGCTTATTAGCTTTCTGCTCGGCGCAGCCTGACAGCATGCAGAGGCACCTGTGTGCACGCTGGGGAACGGATGCGGACATGGCCTCTCCAGGCTCAGTCCGTGCTCTGACCAGTCTTTCCTCTGTCTCCTTTTCTGTTTCAGAGGTTGTGTTCTCATCTTACCCTGGATTTTCAACCTCAGAGGTAGGAAGAACTGCCTGCTTTACATTCTTTATCTGTTTGTTGCCCTGGGGATTAGACCCAAGGTCTTGCCCAAATAACAGCAGGTGTTGTACCACTGAGCTACACTCTCAACTTCCTCTAGATTACTTATAATACCTAATACAGTGTAAATGCTATGTGAATAGTTATACTGATTACTTAGAAAATAATGACCAGAACATTAGTTTTAATAGACAAAACTGAGTAAGTTAATAGAGCTGTGAGACATTTCCCTAGGTCACACCAAGAAATCCTAAGGCCCTGCACTGATCACTGGAGATGTGGTGGTGTGGAGGGAGGAGACTGAACAGGCCCTGACCTCATCAGTACACAGTCTCGTTCCCATTGTCCTCAGATGCTGTTCAGCACAGTGTGGTAACAGCTGCTACCTCAAGTGATAAAACTGGGAAGACTGCTACCAGGATGAAACCCACCAAGTTCTCTCACAAAAGCCTCAAAAAGTGAGAAAGTTCTTGTCAGATACACTACTTCCCAGATCCAGCCCTTGCTGTCAAAGGCTGAGATGCTTGATACTGTCAGCCTAGAAGACTGGCTTTTATCTCAGGGTAGAGCTCACTAACCAAGCTCAAGGAGACTGATCCATATAAGCTAAGTGTTGATACATCAATTGGCAGCAAGATGTGCACTCTACATCTAACCAACTCACACCCTTAGGAGGTAGCTTAATACGTTGCCTCCTTACAGAACTGTATAAGAAGCTGTGCCAGTTAACCATTGCTGCACAGCAGACCCAACAGCCACTGACTTCAAACACTAGAAATTTCTTATTTCTCTAAATGTTGAGCTAGCAAAGTGGTTTTGCCAGTTTTGCCACCAAAACTAGTTGGGAACTGAGTGAGCTCCAGTGGATATGGCATGTCCTGGCCTCTCTGTGTGTCATCTTTGCATCCTGGCCTTCTTTAAAGCCTGGTGATATACAGATTTCAGGAGAGGGAGAAAAAATTACAAGATTCTCAAATTCAAACGTGCCACTCTGGCCACATTCTGTCAAAACACATCAGAAGGGCAGGCTAATGCTGCAGCACAATTCTGACTCTAGTCACCCAAGAGTTTAAGATCAAGTTTAGGGGCAGAGTTCCTAAGACACCTGTTAGCCATGGGGAGTAGGAAGGACAGCAAACTATCCACACTGTGACCAACTAGCTATACATTTTGGGAGTTCTCATACCAACCTATTCAGCTTCAGTAAATTTCTAGATCTAGAATATATCAAACCTCAAAAAAGGATTATATCTAACAACAGTTTCATATAAAGGACAGTTCCTCTGCCTTCTGCAGAAACGTTAGCCCAGCTGCACAAAAGGGGCAGCCAGTGCTAAGGCTGCTGTAGGGCAAGGATGGGACATGAGGCTGGAGCCTCTGGTGTCTGCGGCAGTGCTGTAATGTTCCGTGGCCTCTGAGAACTTGAACCTGGAACTCTGAATGCTAGAGAATTAGCTTATGTGACCTCAGAGAACTTGGAGTCAGAATTCTGGGCCTTTATGACCCCAGATGTCTCTTTCATTCTGTGCCTTAGGAAGGGTGTTTGGCTGTTTCCAGCCTCACCGTCTTTATCATTAGGACACTGACTCTGACGTTGTTTCTTCCTTCTTTCTAAGACAACCAAGGTATGTTCACTTCCTCCCATATTCGAGATTCTTCCTGTGAAGTCACTGAAGGCAAGGAACCAGACGCTGGCCCCACCCTTCCCAGAGCTGAGATACCTTAGCCTGGCCTACAACAAGGTGAGTGCCTTTCTGCTGTTTCCTTAGGGGCAGAGATGGGAGGAGGAGATGAGGACGCTCTGGCCTGAAGTCAGGCCTTTCCTTGCCTACATTATAGCCATGGGTCCTCTTCTCAGGGCAGGGAAGGTATTATTAGGTACTTACCTGGTGTCAGCTTGTGTACGAGGCATTGGGTATATATACAGGTATGGAAAGAAAGACTTGAGGGCTTGGGATGTAGCTTGGTTGGTGGAGCTTGCCTTGCACATATGGGACTCTGAGTTTGTTACCCAGCATGGCATAAAACAGGTATGGTGGTCCATGTGTCTATGATCCCAGCACTTGGGAGATAGTGGCAGGAGAATCAAAATATCAGTCATCCTTGGCTGCATCGTGAGTTTGGGGCTAGCCCTGGCTTAGAGACCCTGTCTAAAATAAAAAAGCAGAGTTGGGACTGGAGAGATGACACAATGGTTAAGAGCACTGGCTGCTCTTGCAGAGGACCCAGGTTCAGTTCCCAGTATCCACATGGTGGCTAACAGCCGCCCTTAACGCCACTTCCAGGAGGATCTGATGCCCTCCTCTGGCCTCAGGGATTGCATGAACAGGTGTACTTACATACATGCAGGCAAAATGCTCATATAGATAAAAATAAATAATTTTAAAAAGAGAAGACTTGGCTTCCTGCCCTTCTGGAGCTTGTCAGCTTTAGAGAAGACTGACACTGGAGAAATTCACAGCACTGCGAAGTAAGTCTGTGATGTGTGGTCTGACTTAATATTTGACCAAGGAAAAGTGGTGTTTAAGCTAAGATTCAAATCAATGAATTTAGTCAAGTAAGTGTGTATGGGAAGGGGTTGTAACAGCAGATTAAAAACTCCATGGGAGCCGGGCGTGGTGGCACACACCTTTAATCCCAGCACTTGGGAGGCAGAGGCAGGCGAATCTTTGTGAGTTCAAGGCCAGCCTGGTCTACATAGTGAGTTCCAGGACAGCTGGGGCTACAGGGAGACCCTGTCTCAAAAAGACCAAAAAAAAAAACCAACCAAAACAAAACAAAAAACCTCCATGGGACAGGCATCAGATGTTCTTCCTATGTCCAGTATCTATGATTTGATTTTCTATATAGCCTTAGTTATTTATGTTTTGGTATTGGAGAGCAAACCCACGGTCTCATGCATGCTAAGCATGTGTTCTACTGAGCCATATCCTCAATTTCTGTGCTTTTCATTCAGTTAAGGTATTTTGTTGTTGTTGTTTTTCCTGTGATTTTTGTCTGACCAGTGGGCTGTTTAGAAGTAAGTTGTTTTAATTTCCTATGCGCACACAAAAAGAGCAGGAAAAAATCCACTCATGGCTGTGATTTTATTTTTTCCTTCATTTAGTTCTGTCATCTTTGCTTCAGGTATTTGAAGTCTGTTAGCAGGACAACCACTTTTAGAACATATAAAGTGCATCCCTTTCAGAGCACAGCAGGTTGGTCCTTACCAGGCTGCCAGGCTGTTTCCTGCTGTTCCCATCCTCAGCTTCCCACCTTCCCTGTGCACCTGCATCTCAGCTTCATCTCCACTCACATTCCTGCCCCACAATAGACTGCTGTTGCTTGTTCCTTGGGCTTTCTAGCCTGAGGTAGGGACCTGAGGTGAGCTCCAGCTCTGGTCTTGGGCAGCCCTGGGCCCCACACCTCCACGATGGCCCTTCTCAGTGGCCCTTCCCCTCCCACTCCTATGGGAGCAGAAAACATCTGCTGTACAGGACCCAGAGTAGCAGTGACATTTCTCCCTCTCCCAGATGCCATGCCAGGGCTGGAGGTGGGGGGGGGTGTGCTTTTCTTCTTTGGCAACAGAGGGTGTCTGTTCCCCAGGGAGAAGGCCTGGGAGACCACTGCTGCTTCCACAAGGATAACTGCTGACCTCCAGGCCCATGCTGGAGGAGCCCATGCTGTGATATACCAGGCCACACCACACCATGCAGAAGCTTTCTGCAGTACCCCGTGCATGTAGCCATACCTCTCTGGAGTCCCAATGCCTTGCTCTAGGCCACATTTGTCCTTTACCAATCCATTTAAAAATTAGCTGATTTCTTCTTAAAGGAATATGATGCCCTAGCTCCTGCCATAGGTGAGCCAGAGTGATCCTCTCCTTGGAGATGCCTTGCCTTCCTTAGGGTTCTGCCCATGGGACTACCCTGAGACCCTGAGACAGTAGCTCTCTCCTGGCTTCAGGAAAGATTGTGACTGTTGATTGTTAAACTTTTTCCTTTCTTTCTTTCTTTCTTTCTTTCTTTCTTTCTTTCTTTCTTTCTTTCTTTCTTCTTTCTTTTCTTTCCTTCTTTCTTTCCTTCTTTCTTTTTTCTGGTCTTTTTATGAGTATGAGTGTATTGGCTACATGTATCTAAGTGCATCCATGTCGTGCAGTGCCTGCAGAGGTCAGAAGAGGGCGTCAGAGCCCCTGGAACTGGAGTTGTTGGCATCTGTCTTGGCGCTGGGAATTGAACCTGGATCCTCTGCAAGAGCAGTCAGTGCTCTTAACTGCCGAGCCACCTCTCCAGCCCTGTTGGGCTTTTTCTTGCTGTTACGGTTGGAGCAGTGCTCTTTCTGTTTTCTGCATCTTCACATGAGTTTTTGAATGTCATTTTTCTTTATAACAGTTAACTACCTTTTGGTCAGCTACAAGTTATATACTACCAGAATACATTTTGTTTGAGTGCTAGAGTTTTTTTTGTTTTTGTTTTTTACCTATATCTGTATCCTTGGCATATAGATTATTATCTGATATGTGACAGGAGCTCAGTAAGTCTGTTTCATGAATGATGTTTTTATCATGCCAAGGAACACAGCTACATGTGTTAACATTAGTGTTTGATTTATCAGAGACACAAACTTTTAAACCAATTCTGCTTTCAACCAGAACTTCTAATCTAGAATATTCACTTAGAAATGTGTCAAAAGCAAGATAGTGGGGCTGGAGAGATGGGTCCATGATTGAGAACATTGGCTGCTCTTGAAGAAGACCTGGGTTCAGTTCATAGCACATACATGGCAGCTAACAGCTGTCTGTAACTCCAGTTCCAGGGAATCTGACTCCCTTTTCTGGCATCTATGGCTACTGCATGCACATGGTACACTTATGTACATGCAGGCAAAACACTTGTACACATAAAATGAAAATAAAATATAACAAAAACCAAAACAGTCACTTTTACTTAATTTTTTAAACCAATATTTATTTAGCTTGTAGATTTAACTGACTGTTATATTGTCTTTAACCTAAGGAGATTGGACAGAAATCTAAAATTATCACTAGAACCTGACTGTGTCCTCAGGGGTGTTGAACATACCTCATTGGGAATAGGTTAGCCAGATTTGGCTTTCCATATCAACCAGAACCCCAAGTCCATGGCTTTTAGCTAGGCCTTCATATCACAGGACACAGGATACACATGCCTGGGGAATCAGTCAACTTCCTCCCTATTTTAATTATAAACGGATCTTGCATCTTGACCAAAATCAAGTTTCTATCTCTCATCCGTAGTGATTGTCTCTTAGTACCTGATTTTCCCACAGAGGGTTTGTGCCCTCTTGGGCCACCATTACACACACCACAGGCACCTCTGGGGATGCCTCCTTAATCCTTCTCTAGAGCATAAGTTAATAAACATTTTTTGTATTTTTTTTTCAGTATTGCTGATTAAACCTTGAGCCTCATGCATGCTAGGCAAGTGTTCTACCACTGAGCCACATCCCCAAGCCCAGTAAACTTTTAAAAACACAAGTCCAGATGATATTTCACTCTGTTATAGCTACTCAGCTCTGCTTCTGTAGCACAAAAGGCACTGTGAAAACAAAAGAAAGTTTCTGTTGAAAACTAAATAGATGGCTGGATTTGTCAGCTCCTGATCTTGATACAACCAACCTATATACTAAGAATGTTTTTTACACTTTCAAGGTGATTGAAAAAATTAAATCAAGGATATTTCACCAGGCGTGGTGGCACATGCTTTTAATCCCAGCACATGGGAAGCAGAGGCAGGCAGATCTTTGTGAGTTCAAGGCCAGCCTGGTCTACATAGTGAGTTCTAGGACAGCTGGGGCTGGGGCTACTGGGAGACAGAATCTGTCTCAAAAAGAAAAAAAAAAAGGACATTTCATGACATCTTAAAATGATAGGAAATTCAGATTTCAGAGTTCATAAATAAAAGTTTATTGTAAAAGATATACTCTGCCTGCCTGACGACAAATTGTCCAGGGCTGCATTGACGCTGTAACAGCACGACTGAGCTCAAAAAGAAAAAAAAAAGGACATTTCATGACATCTTAAAATGATAGGAAATTCAGATTTCAGAGTTCATAAATAAAAGTTTATTGTAAAAGATATACTCTGCCTGCCTGACGACAAATTGTCCAGGGCTGCATTGACGCTGTAACAGCACGACTGAGTCATTGGACAGAGACTCTTTGTGTCCCAACACTGTTAAAGCTGGCTCTGAACAAGAAGGCTTACCATCCTGTGGTCTAGAAGAGCAAGTACTAGGCTCCCCCAGGGGCTCTCCTCATTCCTTCTCTCACCCTGCATCCTTTCCCTAGGGATTACCTCTGATACCCATTGGCCCATGAACAGTGACCCCCAAATTTGTAACTTTCACGCAGACCTCTCCTGTGTTGCAGGCCAATGTGTCCAACTGCCTACTTGACATCTCTACTTGGAAATCTTGAAGTCTCTTCCAGCACTCATGTCCAAAGTGACTTGCTGATCATCTTCAAGTTCTGTGTTCTTCCCTTGTCCCCGTTTCCTGAGAGTCCCATCATCCTCTCAGTTACTCAGAACCTGGAGGCCATCCTTGACACGTACTTTCCTTCTCCATATCTAAGTCATCACGAGGTCATGCCCAATTCAGGTCCTTGTGTTTCTAAACTCAGTCTGATGGCTTCCCCAGGACCTGAATCGTTAGCGTTAGTCTGGCTCCTACTTACATCTCCAGCCTCATTTCCCATCAGACACCCATCTTTTCTGTTTGATTCACACTGTCCTTTACATTCCGCTAAGAGTCATGGGGAATCCCTCTTTCTGCATTAGAGTAATAGCTGGTACAGCAAGCAGTGGCATCTCAACCACTGACCACATTCAAAGTTTGTTTCTTGCTCTTACAAGATCCGGTGGATACTCCAGGCAACCTTCCACATGGTCATTCAGAGACCCAGGGCCCCTCAGGCTATAATCCTGTTGTCCTCATTAGGAATAATGAGAACCTTACTGGGTCCTGAGCATTGGGTAGATGGCTGAGTAAGGAAGGAGATGAAGGAAGTACAGGATATGCAGGTCTTCCTGTGCTTCAGAAAGGAGCATTGATCACTTCTACCCACATAGCACTGGCTAGACCACAGTCACATCACCACAGCATCAGCCTAGAAGCTAGGAGGTATCATCTGGCTGTGTGTTGGGGGTAGAGGAAATGGTTTAGGTTAATACAGAATTATCTCTGCCATACCTCCTCCAGATCTCAAGGACACCTGCTCTTAGTTCTCCTATTAAGTCACATCCCCAGGACTTGATGTACCTCTTCTGTGGTATTTACCATGTTGTAGATCTATTTTCTCTAGGTATTTCTGTGTGTCTGGTGCTTGTTTCTCACTGGTGTTCCTGAGGGAAGGCATTGTATCTGTTTTGCTGACTCATAGCATAGTGCCTGGCACATGGTAGTTATTCATGTTAACTGAGTGGGTGACAGTGAATGAGACAACAGCTGCCTCACTGCAGTCCAGTAAGACTCCAGTGGCTAAACTGAAGTGTCTGCCCTCTCCCTTCCAGCTGTGCACCTCTGTGCCTTCTCTGGCCCTGCATCCAGCCCTATCTCTTCAGTGTGTCCAGAGGTCTGAGAGGCCACTGTTCCACTCCTGGCTCCTCATATATCAATGGTTCTGATTCTGCTACCCTGCTAATAGATGCCTCCCCAACAAGGTCCCCACACATTTCAGCTACTCTACCCAACAATGATTATTATGCAATTTTGGCCCTTCAGAGTCTGGCTTAGCCAATAGGCTACCACTTAGAAGCTAGCTACACAGGCTCACAGTAGCCCTGGCCCCAGCCAGCCATGAGGCATCCCTTACCAGGGCTCATCTTATCCCATGGACAAATGGGTTCCTGCCCTCTGATTTCCCTCACTTCCTACATCAGTACCTAGGACTAGTCTCAGAAAAGAAGTCCTCAGGAGTGCTGCTGACAAACTGCTTGGGCGTGCACAGATTTGCCTTGAAAAAGACAAATCAAATTCAGAGTCAAAGTCAGTTCCCTGCCAATCTTCCAGGCTCTCTGTGAGGCAGATGCTCCCGACATTTGTTCTGATTATTTTATCAGCCAATTCTTAACTCTCAAAGATGAAGCAATGGTGATAGAATCTGTAGACAGGAGGGCAAGATGTTCTGGGCCTGAGCAGGTGGTAGTGATGATGCAGAGACAAGGCGCTGGCTACACTGAGTCACTGCCATGTCTGTTCCACAGCCTCATGCCCTTGCTAGGCGGCATCTAGCTCTGCTATGTGATGTGCCTGAGTGGAGTGAGGGGTGCACCAACTTAACACCTCCCCTGTACTTGTTCCAGATTGCAAAGGAAGATGCTGTTCTACCAGCAGCTCTTTTCCCCTCTCTCTGTGAGCTCATCTTCCACAACAACCCTCTGGTGGTCCACACACGAGGTATGGGGTTACGGGTCTATCTCCTAACCTGGTGCCCAAGGAGCAGCCCTGGCACCCTCATGCTTGCCTCTTGCTGGGGTGGGGAGAGCTCATGGTACCCTGAGGGATGGAGAGCACAGCCAGTTGCTGAGCATTTGTTCTGCACCTGCTCATCCAGATAGCAGCCAGGGCAGGCAGGCAGCATTCTCCCCACGGACTTCGGTGGAAACTGAAGCTCACAGAGGTTCATGATCTGTCCAAGGTCACTCAGCCAGAGAGTTCAGAATACTGAATCCTCTAGATCTTACATGAGCTCTTTAAGCTATACCCTGATTTGCAGAACAGGTTTGTGTGGCCTCATGCCCATTTCCCATCTGGGGTAGGCCCAGCTGCAGGGCTGCCCCTGCCTCAGCAGTCTGTGAGCTGAGTCCTCTGTCTTCAGTCCATGATCTAGCAGCTGGAGGTGCATTGGTGTCCTGGGCCTTTTGTGACAAGCTTTGCTTCACTCTGATTCCTTAGACTCAGTGTATCACTTTTCTTGCTTATGGACTAGGAATAACATGGTACCTATTTCCTAGGACTTTTAAGAGAATTACAGTCACATTAATACAGGCAAAACAATTTGAACAGTGCTTGGCATATAGAAAGCCCATGGAAATATTAGCTAACAGTCATCTTATTTTTCCATCCTGGCACTAGGGATCCCTCCACTGCTAAAGAGCTTCCTCCAGGAGCATCTGGGGATCCATTTAATTCGAAAGAAACCAGTAAAAGCTAAGCATCATATTTTGATGCCTCGGAAGGAATCCCGGAAGGTAAGTCTTCCAATAGGACCTGTCCCCAGGGGAAGTGGAATCTGTTTTAACATGTGCACTAACATGGGCAAGAGAGAGGCTCTCCCCAACAACACCTGGAACCTCTCCATTGGGTACAGTACTTTCTCCTTTCCTTACTCTGTTAAATACAGATAGAAGCAGGGGAGGATGGCACAGAGGGGCCCCACAAGAGGAGGGGAGAGCCTTGGCGGTCCCTAATTTTACAGAGAAACTAAAGCCCAGAGGGGTGAAGAGAAATCATTCTTGAAGTTAGAAGACCCAGGATAGGCCTGGTTCTGTCACTTTCTGTAGCTGCCTGACCTTGGCAAGAGTTTTGATCTCTGAGCTTTAGGTCTCTCAGCAGAGCCCTGCAGAGCTGCAGAAAGGACTGGATGAAAGGAGACAGGAAGATACCTGACAGACCCCAAGCCCTTGCCAGCACAGGTTCTCAAGTTTAGTCGCTGCAGTGCCAGGGCCTCCTAGTACAGGCGAGGTGCTTTTTCTCATTGACTCTGGGGTTCTTAGACTTGCCTTTAAGGGGGGCATAACCTAGTATTACCCTCCTGATGTGAGTAAATTTCAAACATCTCTGTAAAAACTCCTGTCTCCTGACTTAGACATTGCTGGTGAGCCCCAAAGGTAGATACTGACATCTCTTGCCATCTGCTCTGTGGCTGCTTCTGTCCAACCAAGCTCTTCTTAAGCTTAGCCCAGCTCTTGTCAGGCTCTCACAGGAGCAGAGCAAGGGTTTTAAAGTCAGAAATAGAAATCCCTAAATTTCCATCATTTTCCCCATCTGTTCCTTTTCTGAAGGTCTACCACAGCCCTGTCCATCCTCCATCTAGGGATGGGGCAGAATCCGAGGGAGCTGGATACTGGTACAGACCTGTCCCTTTACAGAGCACCATGGCTGGTACTCCATGGAGCACTCACACCTCTGCTGTCCCTCAATCCTCATGGCAGATGAGGCTCAGAAAGGCACAGTAGCCTACCAGATGGAATTAGTGTTGGGGTTCAGGGGCCTCCTCACCCCTCCTCCCATCCAGAGTTCTGAGTAATGAAGACATGAATAAACACGAGTACCAACTGCCAGTTGAGAAGCAAAGCAGAGCTGTGTTGATCTAGGCAAGCACCCACTCCTTGACTCAAGAGCATGGCTTAGACCTGAGGCCTCCTGGGGATAGCAGTGCTCTCAACCACTGGGCCATCTCTCCAGCCCTGTGGCGTACATCTTGAAAAAGACTCACACCCTTTAGGCTTTGATTCAAAACACAGACTTTATCCCCTTTCCTTTTCGAAAAGGAAAGATCTTCGTAAAATGAAATTTATTTTATAATGGAGTCATCCTTCTTACTCCCTAGGTGTTGGGTCCAATACAGGAAAGGCAGGAGGGCTCAGCCCTGTTCACAAGGAGGAAGTGGAGGGATCCTGTGACAAAGAACAGGAACACTCCAACACATAAAAGGGAGGGGGAAGAACTCCATGGCTGAGGGGAACTGAGCATGTGCAGCCCCTGGCAAGGAGATGTGGAATGGTGACAGGCATTGCCAGTTAAGGGGACCAAGTAGTTCCACAGGACAGATCATCCTTGCTCCTGAGCCCCAAGAGACACTTTCCTTTTGGAGCTTTCTATAAGGTACACACGTGGGCCCTGAAGGTGCTGTTCCTTCCAGGAAATGCAGGGCTATACCTTACTGCCTCCAAGGAGTCCCTGAGGAAAGTAAGTGACATTCTGATAAACCTGATCTGAAAGAGCAATGCCTCAGAGAGCAGAATGAGGGTCAGGGATGCAGCCCAGGCCCACAGCCCAGGCCTCTCGTCAGATGGTCCAAGCTTTGCCATTGCATCAGACTGTGATATCTTGGACAAGTCATTTTAAGCTCTCTGCATTCCAGTTTTTAATTTATAAAACAAAGCTAAGTATTCCTTAGGTAATTTTTGAATTTTCTTTACTTATATGTGTGTGCATGCACATGTATGCCAGAGAACCCATGAAGAGATGAGAGGACAACCTGTGGGAGTCAGTTCTGTCCTTCCGCCATGTGGGTCCTGGGAATCAAACTCTCGTTATCAGACTTGGTAGCAAGTACTTTTACCTGCTGAACTATCTTGCTGGCCTCTCCCTTGGGTAATTTTGAGGTGTAAATAAAAGCTATGTCTTGTGTAGGGTACATTGTTTGTTTGGCCTCACACCTCTCCTGAGTGCTCCCACCAATATACAAGCTTCCCAAGGCTGGTTAAGCCCGGGATAGGCTCCAGACTACAGAACAAAACCAACTCAGATTTTCTCCCATAACAGGTGAAAACTCACATCCCCAAGGTCAGGAAGAAATTTCTGATGCCCCATCACCTGAGCATGACCACAGATGAGCCTCCCCCAAGGGAGATGCCAGAGCCAGAGCCAGGGGCTGAGGAGCTGACCCCTGCTGAAAGCACCTCTCATGAGGCACTGTTGAACACGGAGGGCCCAGAAGGCCCTACCCCATCTCACCAGACCTTCATGCCAGTGCCTCCCATCTGCACTGACTCCACGGTGCACAGTGAGGAGACCACATCCTGTCCAAGTGACATAGCTGGCATCTTCAGCCCAGAGCACCCATCAGATGAAGATATCAAGAGCGTGGAGTCCATCTTCCTGACCCAGGTGCCCGTCCCCAGCTGCCTCCACCCCTTCTGCAGTGCCCACAGACTCCTGCAGAGCCTGGGCTGACTGCACTGCAGTCGACAGCTGGGAGCAAGTCCAGAGCAGGTCGGGAGATCAGAAGACAGTGCAGCTTTCAGATCCCTCCTGATCAGAGGTTATGCCCGTCCCCAGCTGCCTCCACCCCTTCTGCAGTGCCCACAGACTCCTGCAGAGCCTGGGCTGACTGCACTGCAGTCGACAGCTGGGAGCAAGTCCAGAGCAGGTCGGGAGATCAGAAGACAGTGCAGCTTTCAGATCCCTCCTGATCAGAGGTTATGCAGGATACTCATGGTCCTGTGACATGGACAGCATCTCAGGTCTGGCTGGGGTATGGTGTAGACCAGTTTTCAGAGAGGCTTGTCATTGCTTCTGGCTCTCTGCTAAAGGTCACTGAACTTCATGCTTACAGTCTATTGGGAAAGCTAGGTAGGAGCAGTAGTTCTAATATCTACTGGGCCTGAGGGAAACCAGGACTGGAGCCTGGAGGAAAGTTGGGGGCGGGGTGCCTGTCCCAAACCAGGAGGGTTTCTCAGGCTGGGTAGAAGTTAACGTGTAAGTATGGGTAGGAAGGGCATTCTGGGCAGAGGAGACAGCATAAAATGGGGCACGGGGAGGAATTAAAATGGAAGGTGTTGGAACCATGAATATCCGGTAAGTACAGCAGAAGGCTGGTGTGGAGAGAGGGAAATAAAGGCTGAGCATCCCTAATGTGAATGTCTCAAATCCCAGATACTCCAAATTCTGAAATTTCACAAGCCAATATGACCACAAGTGGAATATTTCATATCATGAAACTTTGTTTCATGCATAAAATTATGTAAGATACATAAGATTACCTTCAGGCTATGTGTATGCTATATATACATATATATGTGTATATATATACATATATATCACAATTAAATTTTGTGTATAGACTTGGGTCCCATGCCAAGGTATCTTATCATGTAAATATTCTAAAACATAAAACATTCCTGGTCCCACACATTTCAGATAAGGGTGGTTCAACCTGTATATTTATGACTGGAGGAATAGGCAGGGTTCCCTGGAACTTCCCTAGATGAAATAGTTTCCTGTCTCATATGAAAACCATTTGAGTAGACTAAAATGTTCCTGGCTGACCATCAGAGCAAGGATAAGGAAAATATAGAAGGAAACAGGCTTGGCTTGACACTGAAAGGCCCTCACCCACTGGGCCCTGCTCATCACACTGGTTGCCCATCTCTTCACGTTACTCTCCAAGCTCGCATGGTTCTTTCCTGACTGCACCTTGTGCATGCTGTTCCTTGGCTGCTGCTGCCAGCCATCTTTTGTCAAGGCTTGCAGTCCAGCCCTCTTTCCATATTGCCTGGGGACAGCTCTCCTGGCTCCTCAAGTCTTGGCTCAGCCTGAGGAATCACTTCCTGCAAAGCTTCCTGGCTAGGTTAGGGCTCTGAGCCTGCCCAAACCCACCTTGCCTCCTTCTGTTAGGGCATTCAAAAGGTGTTTGATCCATAGACGCTGTCCCACCTGCCCCCTACCTTAGTGGGACCCAGCACTGCGGGCAGTGAAGAGCCCACTTTAGGACGTGGCAGGGAGTGAGTGAATGCCTTTTTTTCTGGCACAGGTGAATGAGCTGCCACCCTCCACTATCCACACGGAAGAGTTAGAGGTGAAGGAGAAGAACCAAAGGAGGCCTCTGACAGTACCCAGAGAGGCAAAGAGGACTCCAAGGAAGCAGCCATCAGCCGCCACTGCCAGCAAGTACCAGGGCTATGAGGAGCTGCTCACAACCAAGCCTGATCCCACTTTTGTGGAGCCAAAGGGTATGTGAGGACTGGGGTCCTCCCCTCAACCCAGGCCAAGGCTGGTTCTGTCCTCCATGGGAATGTCTGTCAAAGGCCTCTTGGGGCATGGCAGGCTCCCTGTCCTTCATAAGCCACTGCAGCTGTGGCTGGTGGGAAAAGTTGATGAACAAACAAATTTAGTTTCCAGAGCTCTTGCCAGCCAAATATAAATCCCAGGTAGAGCATCCCAGCTCCCTATCTGGTTTGGCACAGTGGAGACAGTGTTCCTCCTGAGCCCTTATCCTTCATTTTGGTCTGATGGATCAACATTATCTGTTTCCAAAGGATCTGGCTTCCAGCAGGCTTTCTGGGAACTTAAGGGCCCACCTTGAGGCCAAAATTATTCCCACATTAGGCTCTGGGTCCACCGGTACATGCTCCCTTGACCTTCTGGAGGTGGATCTGATTAGGGAGCTCTGGGGACAGCTTTCTTCCAGGGGCCCTGGAGTCCTTTCACCCAGCTGCTTCCCTCAACCTTTTCCCCCAGGCATCCAGAAGAATACACACGCCTTGCATCACATGCTGAAGCAGCCTCTCCTCTACCGCTCCTCCAAGCCCAGGCTGGACACGTTCCAAAAACCCTATGTCCCCAAGGAGAAGTGGGTAAGCACCTAGTACTCTGTAGGAGTGAACTCTGAGGACTCCCCAAGTACAGACCTGACTTATCACCTTGGGACCCCCCTGAGGACTGTTTCCCTGTGCTCCAAGTGCTCCTTGCCTGTTGGTGTCACTGCATGAGGTGACAAATCTGGCATCGCACCCTTTGTCTTCTGCCAGACCCGGAGGATTCCCGTTCCACCCCCAAGGAAGACGCGAGCGCAGCTTCTGGATGACATCCTTATTAGCATGCGGGACGCTCGGAATGTTACTGAGGCCCCTCTGGGTATGGCACCCCTCTCCCACTGGGCTGGTGTCTGGTGGGGAAAGGTCCGGGGGAAGCGGGGAGGGCTGGTTGAAAGCGGGAAGGCGGGAGAGAAGCCGGAAGCTTGAGCACATCCTCAGTGTGCCCTGGGGAGAAGCAGAGAAGTGCCCAAGTCACCGGGCACCTTAGGGACCTGAATTAAATCGTGACTTCGCACCGTCGGGCTGGACTTCCTGAACCCACCAGCCCACTTTCTGGATCTCTGTACTTTGGGCTGGGGAACACTGGCGAGCCTCTCTGTCCCCTCGTCCCTGCAGGGGCAGTGCTGCGCAGGCGCACGGAGCAGGGCCTGGTGAACCAGAAGCAGTACCTGGAGGCCAAGCGGCTGCTCAAGGAGTTCCGTGCGCGCTACCGGCAGCTGGTGCACAGCACCCTGAGGACCGTGTTCTGGGTCGGTCCGCCGCCGCCGCCAAGGCCGCCCACCCGCCGCGCGCTGAGCGGCGGCCGGCCCAAGTTGGGCCGCTTCCTCGAGTTCATGGACGAGTTCTGCCAGGATCCCAACGCCAGCGACTCAAAAGAGTAGAGCTGTGCACCCGTTGGCCGCCCTCGCTGAGGGCTCTGCGTCCTTGACCTTGACCAGCACTGGACAGCAGGGACTTAAGCTCCACCCGCTCAGCGGTTAGCGTGGGGAGGTCAGCAGGACCTTCCCTCGCCAGGCCGGGCCGGGTCGGGCCGGACCTGGTGACTGGCCCAGTAGCAATAAAGAGTGGTGCGCAGAGCAATCCAGTGGGTACCAGGCATTATTTCTTGGAAGCTGGGCAAGGGCCACAGTGGTCCGTGCATCCTTAGAGAGCTGTGAGAAACTACTGGAGTCACAGAGCTGTGCTAGGACAGAAGCGAGGGTGAGGGGCCAGGGAAGCAGCACAGAAGCCTCAGAGGCAGGGAGCAAAACCAAGGACCAGAGGTCACAGAGGTGTGGTGTTTCCTGTGAGGCTGCTATTCTCACTTTGACGGTGGAGAAGATGAAGTGTTCCCTTTAAGGTGGCCTGGGTCATAGATGGGACTGGCAGAAGGGCAGGCTTAGTTTTCCAGTCCTTCAATCCGGGACACAAACTGAAGGCAACTGAAGGCAAGAGTGCAGACCTGCTGGACTGTGGCTGTGTGGTCAACTGGGTTCACAGTAAGTACATACCAGGACCATCTGGCATTACTGAATTATTGTGTGCCCAGAAGGCAGCATCTGCTACAGAAGGGTCTGGAGAAGTCCACTTGGGCTGTGTTGGGTGAGACCTGGTCACCTGGGCACACAACTCTTGCTCCTATGGCTCCTCTCCTGAGGATGGCTACTTCAGATGTGGGCAGCACACCTGCAGTCCTGAGTCCAGGAAGTAGTGGTATAAGGCTTCTAGATCCTCAGCAAACCAGACTCCCATGAACCAAATTGCAACTGTGGGTATGATTGAACTCAACTTCACAGATTCATGTTTATATTGAACTGTGATCATACTGACATGCATATACATTCACCATCAACACACAGGTTACAGGTGATGAGGATACAACAGCCCATTCAGACACCTGTACGGAGATGCAGGTAATGCACTGTGACCCGCTGCAGCAGTCACATTCAGGATGGTACTGGATTTGTCAGCTTGGGTTTTCTGGGGTCCTAAGCCACACATCTTCCTCTATTAGGAGAATTGACACCAACAGTCACACTGTCAACCTCACCAGGTTTCAATTCTGCCCTGGACTGCTCCCTTCAGCCAGATAGGTGCTCTCAAGCCTGACCATCTCCCACCCCTACATCCCTGTTCCAACCTAGCTTTTTTCAACCTCCCCAGGAACTAACTCCCTAAAGGCAGACCCTTCCTTTGTTGGGTAGTCCTAATGGTTGCACTACACTGGAACTGTGCAGTCCCAGCTCTTTTTGCACCCTCATACCAACCCTTCATCACTGTGAGAACATCACAAATACTGGGCCCAAATCCTCTGAGCTGAATAAGCTGGTTGTCTCTCCTAAGTTATTGATCATTCTGAATTCCTGACCTGCTTGGCCTCCCATCTCAGAAGCTATTTGTTGAGAGCAGAGTTCAAGTACAGGCCCCCTTTCCCTTACATATAACATGTCAATAATTGAACCCCAAGATAGAAGCCACCATGCAGGACCCTGATTCTACTAGTCTAGGAAGACTTGGTAAGATCATGTGGCCACTCGTTTTGTTTCTTGATACAGGGTCTCATGTAGCCCAGGCTGGCCTCAAACTCATTGTGTTGTCAAGGATGACCTTGACGTCCTGATCCTTCTGCCTCCACCCCAGTACTGGGACTACAGATCCTTTCCGCTTCAGCTTAGGGTATCCTTCAGGCCCCTCAAGCTGTTTTCTGCAGGCACCCAAGATGCTAGTGAGCACACTGGAAGTCAGGGAGACCACCAGAGAACGAACTGATGCAGCAGCAGATTGTGCTTCACATCCCCTATTAACCCAGTACTCCATCCTACAGTGGATGTACTGGGAAGGCAGTCTGGTCCCCAGCTCACCCAGTTCCAGTCCAGACAGCAATGGATACCACACTGGTAGCCAAGGCCAGTGGCTTAGGCAGGCCACAGTGACAGAACGCAACCAGCAGCTTTGGAATCAGAGGGTCCAGCACCTAGACTGAACTATCAGGGCCAGAGTTCCTATCTCTAAATGAGAACCACACCATCCAGCGCACCTGTAAGGGAATTAATGAGTGGTGTGTAGAGCACTCTACAGAGTCCTGTAGGGACCAAGACAAGCACTGTTCTCAGGTCTTCCACTGGCTGCACACTCTAACTTGCCTCCTTTGAAGGTATTTGGGTTACATGACTTCAAAGATCCCCCACATGCTGGCTTACTATGCATGACCTGAACTCATAATGGTCTTCCAGATTAGTATTCTAAGTTTAAAAGGAACAGATGTGGAGCTGGATAGATGACTCAGTGGTTAAGAGCACTGGCTCACCTTAAGAGAACCCAGGCTCAATTCCTAGCACTCACATGGTGGCTAACAACCATCTGTAACTCAAGTTACCCTCTTCTGGCCTCCACAGGCATCGCACACATAAGTATGTGGAAGCAAAACATTCATACACATAAAAAAATTTAAAAAACATTTAATTTGTTCTCTGTTCAATGAAAAATGAATGACAAAGGTATTTTTATGAATTTTTGAATGATGCTTCCAAAACATTTTTAAAACTCAGATTTCTGAGTGCAGCCATAAAGTACTCGCACTCACCGCTGTCTTCATGGAGGTGTAGAATGGTCATATGCGAGAGTAACGAAATTAGATCAGAGATAACCTCCATCATAACTTACATCAAAAGATGTAACTGTCCACAGTGAGGAGCCCATCCTAGCTCCTTCCTAATCACTCTGAATACCAAAGCAAGGCATTCTAATGTAGGTACCTCCTAGTGCAGGCCAGCATCCAAGTGAGCACCTGGTTTAATCTTAGCCCACACTTGTCTAATAAGGCTCTCCAGAGATGACACTGATTAGAAACTGAACATTGACTTCATGAGTCTACTGCATTTTCAGGGTGGGCCCTCCTCAAGCAGGCAAACATTACATTGGAGAATGCACTTTGGTATTGTTTGAATAATGTCTCATCCCACTTAGTTCCACACCATTGCACTGTGGTAAAACCATCCTTGACAGGGCATACCTTGTCCTACCTGTGTCAAAAGGCACTGTGAGTGAGAGGGAACAGCTAGCAGAGGCAGTCCACTAGGTCTGCCAGCTACCAGAGGCAGTCCCCTTCTCCAATGTTAAACAGCAGGTTGAATAAATAAATGACAACCACCAGAAGACAAGGAACTGCAGCAGGCCGATGAAGACCATAGACAACTCATTTTCTATTTCTAAGCGAGAAGGTCTGGCCCTTAGGACAACTATATATTTGTAGAGTTAAGAGTAAACAGCGCAAAAAGGAAAAAAGAAAAAAAATTCTGTTAGTGGGCATTTAAACTAGTCACCTTCCACGGTATGTTTTTTTTTGCTTTGCTGGGGGCTTAGGGTTGTGATGTCATGTTTGATGCAAACTCTGAAGGAGAGGCCTCACTGCACTGGAAGCACACATAGTTGAGGGGAGTGGTAACCACCCAGGGAGAATCTGAGTGCTGCTATACTAATCTGGAACCAGGCAGAAGCTAGACTCAAGCTTGTGCAACTAGACAGTCGAAGAATGCATTGTCTGTGCCCCATACTCAAGGACAGGGAAGATGAGCAAGCCTGGCTTTACATGGCTTTGTCTAACTCTTAGACACAAGAAAAGAGAGGGTGCCTGCTCAGATCCTAAAGTTGCTTCTCACAGATTATAAGTTTCCACTTACCAGCAACATTAAGGAAGCACAAAAGAGAGTATGTTTTCCCCCCTTAGGGAGAAAAGAAATACTGATAATACAACAGCCTGCACCTTAGGTCTTGGCACTCTCCATCCAGTTTGACTAAACTGGTAACCCCTGCACATCTCCAAGTCTCTCCTACAGAATAATCTTCAGAACACTACAGTTGCTAACAATCATGGAAAGATGCATTTCTGGATCATCTTCCAAAGAAAACTGCAGCAACAGACTCTTCCTCAAAGTCTACTCCTCAATCCTACCAGCTTACCTCTTCATTCAGCCACAAGAGCTCATACCCAGCTCCATTCACTCTAAAGGCTGGACCAGAAGACTATTCTTTGGTGGATGAGGAAAGGGCTAAGAAAGGTTTAAGCTCCTAAGGAGTTTGAATTTGAAAGGAAAAATAGCAAGGCCTAGCTGGTTTTTATAACTCTTGGTAATCAAAATGACAATTGCCCAACCAAAATATATCCCCAAAATTCCACTCAATCCTCACATTGTGGGCATTTCCCCCACTATATACCCTACATACTATAGGTGTGTTCAGGAGACAAAGATGCATCTTTTAAAAAAAATTATTGATTTATGTGTATGAGTGTATTGCCTGCATGTGTATTACGTGCACCCATGTCATGCAATGCCCGAGGAGGACAGAAGAGGATGTTGGATCCCCTGGAACTGGAGTTACAGAGTTAACTGGAGTTAGTGGCCATGTGAGTGCTGGGATTTGAACCTGGGTCTTCTGCAAGAACAGTCAGTGTTCTTAACTGCTGAGCCCTCTCTCAAGCCCCTAAAGATGCATCTTAGCTGAAACAAAAGTCATTTAAAATTCTCCTTTGCTTGGGTATTGTGCACCCCCATATTGTACAACTTTCATGATTACTTAGGCCCTAGAAAACTATAGTGTGAAACAGAACAATGGTCCAGGAATAACAGAACCATACCAGTGAGCACTTGAGAAGCACTGATGAGGCCACCTGTAGCCCCAGCTGTCCTGGATTCACTGTAGAGACCAGGCTGGCCTCAAACTCAGAGGTCTGCCTGTTTCTGCCTCCAGAGTGCTGGGATTAAAGGCGTGCGCCACCATGCCGGCTGATGAGGCCTTTTTCAAAAAAGACAATAGAGGACATGAAGGGGGCAGGGTGGTATGGTGGGGGTGGAGTGGGGGATGGAGGTCTATGGTCAAAATACATTGTATGAAATTCCCAAATCAACAAAAATACTTTTTATAAAGAGGACGATGGCTCGTCATCTTAAAAGGAGAGGGGTGGAGGGTTAGGCCACCGTAACATTCCACAATTCCAATTCAGCCTTCAGTTTTTCTTTCCATCCTCTCCTGCTGGCTCTCCACTTCATTGAAAAGTCAGGCAGAGGGAGAGAAAGCCCTGGTTGCTGCCAGTTCTGGTGAGAGGTCAGGTTGGGAAGGCATTAGGTTGCTCAGGTGAGGAGTGGGTGGTGGTATCAGAGATCCAACCTGCCTCATTTCTTAGGGCTTGAGCTAAATGCTGCTCCCAAAGAGGGGTTATTTTTCTATCATCATTGGTAGAATTACTTAGGAAATGGAAAGAACAATGTTAATCAAATTCATAAATACTAATGGGTTATAGAAAATGTTCCAAGGAGCCTGCTGAGTGCTGGATATCCTAAACAGGACTGTAGTAGTGCAGTTATAGAAGAAATGGCCTTTCGAAGATTATCAACACACTCTGCAACCAATGCACATCCATACACATTCCATGGACACTGAGCCCCTCAGGAACAGGGAC